ATAGCAGGATATGAAATTGATATGTAGTAACCAATGGCCTCTCATATATAAATAACAATAGTTTAAAATATAATGAATCATATAAAAATACAAACAAAATTCAGTTGAAAGATACAAAGCAATAAAAGAACTTTTCAGTAGTGACAAGGAATGTAAATTAGCAAGAAATTTAGCAAGAAATAGATAAGAACTTTATGATGGAAACTTAAAAATACAGCTGAGGAACACATACCAATAGATAAGACTTTAAAAATGGGATGTCATGTTCTTGGATCTAACAAATCGATGTCACAAAATTGTCAGTTCTCCCTAAGTTAAAATATTGGACATAACTCCCATTTTAAAATGCCCATAGGATTTTTTTCTTGATGTTGGACAGTGGGAGGGGAGACACTGGACAGGCTGACTTTAAAAATCAGATATAAAAATAAATCTATAAAAATATTGTTATTCCCTTTCAAACTTTGAACTTTGTGAATTGCCTATTCAAAAGTTATAGACTATAAAAGTATTAATTATATTTTTATGTATTTATTTTTGTTTGTCTTCCAGTACCAGGAATCAAACTCACAACCTTGCACTTGCCAGGCAGGCGCTGTGCCACTGAGCTAAATCCCCAACCCCTAAATATACTTTTAAAACATATACATGCACAGGGTTCTTAAAAATAAAAGTGTATTTATATGAATAAGTATAAATTGCTTTGACAATGATATATATATGATGGACATCCTTTAGGCTCACATTTGTAGAACTCAATTATTTTTAGCAAGTCACGCCTCACTTAGTGTGAGTGATCCATTTTGAGACATGTTATTTGGTAATTTCCATGGTTCACAGAATGCATTTCCACAAACCTATATGGTATAGCCCACCACATCTTGCTAAATGTTATAGCCTTCTGCTCCCAGGCTAAAAACTTGTATAGCATGTTACTGTACTAAATAATGTAGGCAAGTGTAACACAATGCTACTTGTGCATCTAAACATAGAAAAGGTGCAACAAAAGTAGAATCAGAAAGAAAAAAAGTGGAACATCTATGTGAGGAACTTACCGTGCATGGAGTTCACAGTATTGGAAGCTGCTCTGGTTGAGTGAGTTGTAGGTGAATGTGAAGGCCTCGGATATCACTGTACCCTACTGCAGACGTTATAAACAACAGACACTTGAGCCATTCTAAATTGATAAGATAAATTTTTTCTTTCTTCAATAATAATAGAGCTGGGCATGGTGGTATACGCCTGTAATCCCAGCACTCAGGAAGCTGAGGCAGGAGGATTGTTGAGAGTTCGAGACCAGCCTGGGCTACAAAGTAAGCTCAAGGCCAGCCTGAACTGCATAGTGAGATCCTGTCTCAAAAAGATAGACAGATAGATAGATAGATGATGATAGATAGATAGATAGATAGATAGAGATAGATAGAGATAGATGATAGATAGATAGATAGATAGATAGATAGATATAGAGAGAGATGATAGATAGATATAGATAAATAAATAAACCTTACTGTAGTTTTTTTATCCTTTGTAAACTTTTACATTAAAAGAACTTTTTTTTGCCTCAGCTCCCCAAAAAGAACTTTTTTGATTTATAATAAAATTTAGTTTCAAACACATTGTACTGCTATACAAAAATGTTTCTTTATATTTTTATTCTATAAGCTGTTTTTATTTCTAGAAATTTTAAAGATGTTTCTGTAAGAAACTAAAATGCACACACATTAATTAGCCTGGGCCTACACAAGGCCACCACCTCCGCATCCTGACCCACCAGAAGTCTGCAGAGCACTGACATCCTGCAAGCTCTTCTCAACCCTCCACAGGGCTCGCCAGGCTCTCCTTGAGCAGGTGTCACTCTGCTCAGATATGTCCTCAGTGGTTTACTCGGTTTTTTGCATCATATATTTGCTTATTGAATATCTTGTCTATTGATGAAATACTTTTGATGTTGGGGTCCATGTTTTCAAAACTTTTCAAGGAGTTTGCTAAGGACTGCAAATGCTTCTGCTAACCCGTTCACTGTAAATATTCTTGGAGTTCTTTTTCTTCTTCGGTTTTCTTTTTACTTGCCTCTTCCTCTGCTGTATGTTCCTATCCCAGATCTACTATAACCTTATAGGACTGCCATTGGATATACAGTCTGTTGTTGACTGAAACATTATTATGTGGTACATGGCTATATAATATTCTACTGCATGGATGAACTGAAATTTATCAAACCATTTCCCTATTAAAGAAATTCAGGGTTTTTGTTTTGGTTTTCAGTTTGAGCTTTTTGATATGTATATAAGTTTTCTTAGCCAGGATTATAAGATATAAACATAAAAAATACAGGAAGAAAGTAATAACATTAGCTCAAGAAATACTTTTTTTTTATTATTTTAGAAATAAAAGGAGGAAAATACTAACAGAT